GTGCCGTAGCCGAAGAGGGAAAAACAGTTAAACGAGTTAAAATGATAACGAGCCCCGAGCCGATCTGTATGAATTCTTAAAGAAAATGTGATTCGGATTTTTATAGAAGTCGAATTAATTGGAAAATAATTTATCCATATTTCCCAAAAGAGAGAGAGAGAAAAAAAGACGCAAGGAAAATGGGGAACATTTCCCTCTACTTCCCTTAAATTGCTGCACGTAGCTTACAGACACAGACAACGCTTTAAAAACAATATATTTTCCCCGATATATTACTGAAATACAGTCTTGTTATTTAATCCGTTATAAACTCTGTGGCAGTAGAAAATTACGCGCATCAAACGGGACCTTGATGCTGAGGCGCACCTGCACCGAAACTATAAGGAGAGTCTTTTCCAGTCAGGCGCAAATGTCTCCTAAACCATTTCACTGCCATCGAAATCACTTTAGAGGTATTGGCCTAGCCTTTGAGGTGAGAACCGAGCTGAAATGTGCGGTTGAAGTCACTTTACCTGCTATTCCTTGAGTTTGCAGTATGAAGTTCTTCCAACTCTCCCCGGCTCCATGTGCAGAAGGTCGCAGCGCCGCGGCGGCCCCATGGAGCTGCGCCCTGAGTCCCTCCCCTCTCCACTGCACTTCCTCGTTCCAGCCCAACATGACTATGTCTCTCAGCTCGGCTGAGGCATTTTGCTTGCTTTTATCCACAGTCTGCAGTGGGGAGTCGGGCCACCGAACCCCTGGCACTTGCTTTGTGCCGTGCCAATAAAAGCTGACACCCAGTAGACCATCACTGGCAGCCATGCATGAGATGGGATGAGGCGAGCGAGGAGAGTGGACCATTCATTGTTTATTTATTTCATTCACACCGAAGAAGCTGATTGGGGTTGGGGGAGGTGGGGGGGGGGGGGGGGGGGGGGGGTAGTGTGGGCTGGAGAGAGGGGGAGGGGGGGTTACTCCTCACTTGCATATTGGACAGCTCCCCTTCTGTCACCTGTTCTGGCACTCTGAAGCAGTCCATGAAAATAACACAAGTGTTTCCCATATAATGAGCTTTTCTTCTTCTTCTATTTAATGTTTCATCCAGTTTGCTTCCCCCATCCCCCCACCCCCACCTCTCTGTGTTACCTCTAGCGTCATAGCCTCCTGTCCTGTACCTTAACACAGCACGAATGAAGCGTACACAATCAGGATTACGTCTGAGCCTGAGCAAACAGTTGCATCTCTTAACATTAGCCTCCTTTATTACTTCCTGTTTTAAAATACGTGTACAGTAAGTGCATCCTCTCTCAGTCCTGCAGCAGATCATCATTCAGATATGCATTAATTTACTGAAATGTGGTTTTCCCTCTGGTTTCATGAGCAGGAATCTACAAACCAACACTGGGCCACCGGCTCCAAGTGTATCAGATGTGTTAGTTTCAGATGCTGCCACTGCTGCCAGCATTCACATTAAAGTCAATCATCTCAGTTCCAACGCGGCGACAGCTCACATGCTCTCAAAGTCGAGCTATCACATCTTACAGTACGGCGATAACACACACGCAACTGCTGCCCGGTGACAGCCGCACACACCATTATACAACACTGTACTTCAAAGAGGCTTTCTGGCCTACAGTTTGTTTTATTGCTAACCTGTGTGGCAGCTTCTAAAGCAGCCCTATAGGTGACTCCTGAGCGGACTGCCCACAAATGGAGTCTGAATTTGTTCAAATAAATATACATTTTGGACTGAAAATGAAGAAAATTCCAAATAAAACAGGAATTGCACACCGCCGTCGACTTTAAAACTCAATTTGAGATATGTCCCGTCACTAGTATCTCATGGTGGAGCTTGTAATGTAGTTCAGTTTGAACCCCTGCTTGATCAGCTGTGTTTACATATATAAATGAACCTAACGGATTAGGTTGGACAAGTTTGCACTTCATTTTACAGAATATGTGATAGTTTATACTCCACTATTTTCTCTTTCTCCTTGTGGCTGTTTTTTCCCAGTGTCCCACAAGCCCCAAAGAGGGCTCTTATCTCAGGAGAGGCCGTGTGGCTGGATTGCTGAGTCACCTTTTGCGGGAGGCTGCCCTTATCTCCTAAGAAACACAGCATTCAGTTGGTTGCAAAAGGAGGAACTTTGGGCAGGAGCAATGCGGCCTGCTGTGTCTTCATGGCCATAATATGGATTGCAGCAATGCTCGCTGACTTCCTCATAGCCTCACAGTCGGTGCTGCTTTTTTTCTTCTGTAAGGTCCGTTTTAACGCATGACATGCAAAGGTGTGAACACGCTGCAGGATGGGTTAACTCCAGAAGTCGCGCAAAGGGAAGGCTGGGACAGAAAATGTGACTCAGCGCTACTGGCGACCTCGAAGATGTTGGTTCATGGCTGTGATCGCCTGCGATAAGAGATGCTGTCCCGTTCAGTGACAAAGCAGCTTCACTTCAGCCGAAATTTTAGAGAAGTACCAACAGAAGTGGGATCAATATTCAGATCTTCCCTCTAATGCCTGACTTGTTCAATTCTTACTGGTCGTTTGGAAATGCTCTCAAACTTCAAGGTTTTATAAGGTTATTATAACTCTGTAGCATCGAAAATGACACATGCGACATGCATGGAGTGTGACTCAAACTGCACAGAACCCTTTGCTCTCTCAGGTTAATCCACAATCTGAAGCAAGCCATGTTGTTGTAATTAATATCATTATCTAGCAAGCCTCAAAACATCATCAGGCAATGTAGCCGGCTGACTAACATACAATAGGCTGCGGACGGTTCTTATTTCATGGATCTTTAAGCAGTATTCACTGTTTCACATTTGGAAGCATGAGCAGCATGTAACCCTTAATTGGTTTCAACACCTTAATAAGTCAAAGACGTTCAAGACCGATAATCACATTAAATAGTCCAATTTATCTAAAAAGTCAATTGCAAAGTGAAAAACTCTCTTTCTTTAGGAATGCATTATGCTGCGAGGATGTCAGAGTAAATTAAATTCCCCTCTGCACACTAAAGCATCAATTTCCTTATGGTAATTATCTGCTGGAATAGACGTGTCACTAGAAGGAGTCAGGCATGCTTGACATTTAGCCTTTTTATGGAGCGGCGATGAGTAAAAATTAAGATGAGGAAAAGGAAATTAATCTGCAGCCCGGGCAAGCATTGAGAGATCCTGGAGGATAGTGCCTGAATCAATCATGGTGTTTGTGAGCCTGTTTTGAAAAGGAGCCGGTGATGAGATTCAGACCACAGGCTGGAAAATCTAAGCTGGAGGAGGAGGAGGAGGTTTTTAGCAAATAGAGTTATGATTGCTATGAGAAGTCTTACGTAGTCCTGTTGGTCTTAAACACAAAGTAAATTGGGTGCTATACAGAGAGGCCGTCTCACTCTCAAGATTATTACCACTGTCGTGTTGTACACTGAATATGTATTGTACCACCAGGTGAAATAAATACTGGAAACATGGCTGCAGACAGCCACATTATTAGGGGTTAAATAGTGAGCTTTAAAAGGTGCCGTTGTCCTCTGCAATTTCATGCATTTGTACGCTAAGCTAAGCAGTTAAGAGAGTCCTGCTATCTAACTGTGCAAGAAAGCCAAGGAGTTAATTGCCTAACATGTTCCTCAACTTTCTAGTGTCTTTCAAAAGTCATAAAATTAATGCAAAACAACAGTAATTACAACTGAAAAGGCTCGCTTTAACAAAACTAACAGCTGTTTTTTTAGCATAAGTTGTTTAGCATAATAATCTGTGGCTGTTAGACATCAATCACCAACAGAGCCGTGAGCTGATATCGTGCCAAAAGGAAGGGTGCTGCCTCTAGATTCACTGGAGTCGCAGCAGCATAAAGGAAAAGGGATAAATCTTAACCTTTCCATGCACATAATTCACTTTACTTACCAATTTTCTCAGCGATGCATTAACTGGTAACATCTTTTAAAAAGAGAGAGAGATTGCACTTACTGCACTTAATAATGCTCTGTTACTTTGACAACTATGGTGGAAGTTGTGCAGTTCTTCGTATGTGATGGGTTTGATGGAGAGCTGATATCATATTTCTCGCTGTGTAAAGACTGCTTTGGACAAATATCAGCATGAAACAGGACCGATGGAGTTCAAAGGCAGTTTAGGGTCATTAAACAAGACACAATGGATGATATTTGCAGACTTGCCTACATTTCTTTTCAGTCTATATTTGGGAGTCAAAAGTGTCTGTCCAGAGGTCAGTGGCCTACGTGTGAGGGTGACGTTTTTTTCATGCTTTCGCTTGGGCCAGCGAGCTGCTGGTGTTCTGTGGTGAGGTTAGCAGCATTAAAGCAATAAGTAACTTTTGCCTCCAAAGTCTTCATGTCAAAAATTAGGACTTTCTAGGCTTCTCAGTTTAAAAACGTTTTTTTTTTTTTTGGATTATTTTTAATTTAAATCTCTTTTGAGTGCCCTCACTTTTAGAAGTGCAACAATAAATAGCTAAATAAAACACAAATGACGTTAAATATACAATAATTAAAAAGAAAAGATGCATGTATTAGTGATCACACAACCCAAAGTCCTCACGTGTATCAACTTTGTGCTTAAGTACAAAATCCTCATGAAATGTAAATCTAAACAAAGTATAGATGAAGAGAAACAGGAAAACCATCTCATCCCTATTTCCTGTCTAAGCGTCAAGCTGCACTAACCGCAGACATAAAGCTATTGCTGCCAGGCACATCATAATAATGTCAATGTGCGTTACAGTCGCATCTACAGAAATCTAAGCGATGTATATACTGAAGCCCACAGACAGCATTTTGAATGCAGATTAGCCTGTTTAGTCATAATGGATCTGTAAAGCTGCCGTAATTTGTATACTTTTAAAAACGTAATGATAGCGCTAAAAATCCTGACTTTCCTCAATATTTCGCCCCTCTCTTTGCCCTTCATGACAGACGCACACACACACATAGAGTAAACGAGCAAGCAAGCGAGTCAGTGAGAGAGAGCAAATATTTAAGAGGACAATGCAACGCACTCACTACCCAGAGTTAGAAAACCACTCATCTAAATCAGGGAAATTATGATAATGGGGCATCTCATTATTCTTTAACTCACTCTGAATAACTCACTGACATCACATCATCGTAGATGTATTCATATAAACAGATTGGATGGCGTGAATAGGAAGCTGACACCTTCGAGCCCTCTCTCATCTCATTTGTCTAAAGTCTTGCTGTGGCGCTCGTGCACCAGACAGGAAGCACGGGTCTCATGAAGGGGTTGCAGGGAGCCACGGCGGTCACCGTTCTGGACAGGGGCGCTGTGTGCCTGAAAACAGAAGTTCCAAATTCTTCGAATGCTCTGTGAAAAGATGTAATGATATCTGTGAGTCACTGAATTACACGTTGTTTTAGATGACGCAAAAATCTAAGAACCTAAAGCTAATCTTTGTAGTGAAACACAGACTGACAGAAAAAAAAAAAACCCTCAGGCACTTCTGTTATGAGTGAGCGTTAGTAAGCAAAAATCCCGGGGATGTCTGACCGTTGTAGCAGACAGTTAATCAATCCAAGCTTGTCTTTTTTTTCTGTTTTGGGGAAAAAAAATGGGAGGCCAAGCCTAATCAGCAGAGGAAACAGATCGCAGGGGGGTGTCAGGCACCAGGAAAATGGATCTGGGTTGTGAAAAACCACCATTACCACGAGCTGCTCTGGATTCAGCCATCTGGAGATGCCTGCTCCAAAAGCCGGTAAAGTTCGCTAAACTGGGGCCCAACTAGGAAACAGGTTTGCACATCCTTAACAGACAGCCAACACTCCCAGAGTGGAGCCATGTTTGCTCTGCACAGTTAAGGGGCTCACTCGTGTCAACGCACATATTTTCAGTGTTGCACTGGGAATTAAACACCTTAAGATTTCCTTTTTAAATAAACCTTTTCAGGTTCTTTTGATGAAATTTGCTCAATTTTAGAAAATCATCGGTGAAATCCTCCCCTACAACACATATAACATCTCTCAAATTCCTACCTGTCTGTCTTTAGGAATGACGGCCGTTGTTTTTAATCTGTTTTTTAACATTTCCAATTACTGAAGCCTTTTCCAGCTGACCATTAACCTGCACCTCACCTGCCCACTCATGCAAAAAATAAGGTATACTAAGCTTTTAAGCAATGCCACTCAAATATGTACAGCACCCAAAAAAAGATAAAGTTCAACAACAAATCAAATTAAAAAGTAGGAGCATGAGAAAACAGTGATTATTCAGGATTTATATTATTTCTCTTAGCTGTTTTGTTGACACTGTTTTTATCTTGTCTGCCCATTTCCCTAAAACAGTGTCCGCTCTTTTAGTTTTACTAATTTCATGCTCTTTGGTTTATTTTTCTCCAGACTGCACGCATGTTTATGCATATTTTTTGCATTTTTCTTGGCTCTGTGGTGTAGTGGTTAACACGTGCACCCCACATCTAAAAGGTCCCCAGTTTGACTCTTAGGGGTGATACAAACTTAACCTCAGGAGTTAGTGTGCGCCCAGTGCCAGTCTCTGGCTACACTTTGATATATAAGGTAAGCTGAAAGTATTGTCATTTGTGTGTATTTCTGCCACTGTGGCGAGTTGTAGTCACATTTTCATAGACACCAGTAAATAATGGGCACCTGTATGGTGAAGTTAAGAGTGCAACCTCATGTCTATGGATTGCATTAGACCGCCCTCTAGTGGAGAATTGTGATGTTTGCTTTTTTTGTCTAACTGGATAAAATGCTGGGAGAAAGAAATATCAAGGTGTGCAAAATAGTAAAATGATAAACTCAATCAACCCACAAATTTATGACTTACTTATTTCACAAGATGACAAGATAAACAATACAGACGATATATTATATACTTTTTAAATGTCATATTTTATAGGACATAATCAGTTAGCAATAACAACGGAAGTCTGTTATCAGAGTTTCATTCAGACTCACCCAGATGAGCTTGCAGAAGTTGCAGGAGCAGCAGAGTCAGCATAGGCAGCCATGCCTGTGTAGCCAGGGATGGTGGTTCGGCTGGCACAAGGAAAAGATGTTACAGACACTGTAACTTGTAAATGAGACACAGTGAGACAAAAAAACACACAATTTTTTACACCTGACATGTAAAAAAATTGTGAAAAATACTTCGTGCTTAACAAACAGTTCTAGAAAAACCACAATGAATGTAAGTGTGTGTGTGTGTGTGTGTGTGTGTGTGTGTGTGTACTGGGTGCAGTTTTCTGAGAGGGATAGAAGGCATTCAACCCATCAGGTCTGCATATTTTTGCTTCTGGTTTATTTTTGTTTTATCCTGAATGAGGACGACCACCACCTGCCACCTCGCCATACTGATCTTTAGTGCTTAAAGTTGAGATTTCAACAACAAAATCAGAAAACAGACTGACAGCATGACAGTATCTCGGTCCTGTTTCCAAGCTACCTTGATCCTTGCATCACTTTTCAGCACTGTACAAAGCCCCAACAGGCTTTTTCAGCCTGGAAACAATACAGGAAGCTAAAAAAAGAGCAAAATAAAAGCATTCAGAGCAGCAGATAAAAAAAATAAAACCGTAGACACTTCTAAATGTCAGCACCATGGACATGACTGATCATTTAGATTAGAATTCCCTACAAGGTGAAATCTGGTGAGATCTGGAATGTCTTATTTCCACTTGTTGAACTGCAGCCTGCAAAAAATGTGACGCTCCCTGCTTGTTGGCTTTCCAACTGATGGTGCAGCAACGATTCCACAGAGGAGCCACACTTAGACTTGGAAAAAAAAATCAATCCTAACTTGACATGCACAGCATGAATAACAAGTTAGGACTTGCTCTCCTCCCTGTCTGTGCGGACATTTTAACAGATGATGGCTAAAGACGGGCAGAGTGCTGCAGATGACTCGCTCACAGGAAAGCAGAGAACAAAGCAAACACCTGTCAACAAGGTGGACATTTTTTTCAGCCTGGCCAATAGGAATACACTTGTGCAAATTGACTATGTTTGAAATAAACCAATTAAAATGCTCTAGTGGTTATTTGTTGAAGCTTCAGACTTGTTTAGATGAAGTTCATAATTATTCTAAAAGTGTCATACCGGTCCATCAATAAATAAGAAACACACTAACAGGCTTCACAGTCTAAGTCCACTTTGTTTTAAGAATAATTACCATTAAAAAAACCTCTGCTTTTTATGTATACAATGACAGTGAGTCTCACCGTGCTGTCGGCATGCATGGAGGAACGACGCTCCTCTTTACTGTCAGTGGCTGGAAGTCTTCATCTATGTTGTCAATGTTATCCATGTTCTCAGAGCCGACGGTGCCACTGCACATACACGAGAGCCCACTCAGTAATGAACGCGAAGGTCAGTGCTCAGAGAAAATATGCAGAGTAGCTGGATTCAAACAAAATACTGCGCCGCTAAGAAAATAGCAGAATCAAAACATGATCACCTAAAACATTTTCTGTTTAAAGTTGCTCAGTGTTTCATGGTAGCAGCAGGTTAAAGACATCATGCAGCAGAATAAATGTGGCAGGTATTAAAGAGCTAAAGGACCCCAAGATTTTGTACAGTACTCTGTGTGGTGGCAGCTCAAACATAAAATACTCACGTGTACAGAGGGATCTGACCTGATCTTGGATATGTACTGCAGCTGAACAAACCAAAAAAACAGGAAGGTGTGTGACAAATTTGCATCATAAAAGGGACTAAAAGAGAAAATGAGCTCCCACTGATGAACGAAATCTTACAAAGATATTGGTTTTTTGGCATCATTCCTCAGTCGAAGCTGTCGCCTGTTCCACTCAGCTCCTACAGACTTAGAAAGAACGGAAACAATCACCGCTTCATCACAATTTACCGATCTACAGATCACCTTTATTTTAACACTATAGGTACAACACATGTGCAGCAGTGTTTATGTTTTAACCCCTAAACTAAAGCATCAAACACTAAAATCTTTACCGCACTCATGTGAAGCAAGGATAGGCCTGCGAGTATTTTTCTTATTCTAACTGATCCCACAAAAAGACTAACGATGGGGTTTTCAGCTACTGTGAAACAGCAGTCCAATGTGAGACTGGCTCAAAAATAAACTGGAGTGCATGTGTTCACTGTAATGAAGGAACATGTTACCCCAGTGCTACAGTGTGGCTCACCAGGGTGTGTTCAGTCATGTTTGCTGGCGGGGTGCTACACAAACTGGATCAATGCGGTGGGAAAAATGCACACACACACACATATATACACAGTCAAAACACTGCAGAGAAAGTGAGACACAGCGAGGGAGTTTTTCTGTTCCTTTGGATGTCATGTTTAATAGGATGTAAAAAAAACTGAAATGTCAGAAATTTGGGGCATGCTATAAAATTAATTTGTTAGTTCAAGTAGCTCCTGGATGTAGCAGCATCCACGGCATCAATGCCAGACAGGAGAACCAGATTTATTTTGGCCTTTTCACATAAAGGAGAGAACTACAGAAATAAAGAAATATTAAGCTGCATATCTGCTTCTTTCAGTCTCCCTGCTGCACACACTGTATGCCAAAAGGTCAAGACTGACAGGTAATGAACTGCAATCACATTTATCACTTTTATTAAAACCAAATACAAAATATTAGCACACCTATGCATGGGTTATTATGAAAATTGCCTTTGAGAAACAATAACCATCCAAAAATCCAATTTCCCTCAGTTGTGTGAATGATCTAAACCCCCAGAAGCCCTCTGCTGGGGCCAAGAAAACAGAGCTCATGCCTCGGCAGTGTTTGCCAACATGCAAACACTCTCCATGGCTCACCTGCCACAGCTGAGGTCGGCTGTTGTAGCGCCTCAGTGAGGCACGCTCACTCACTGGGTCTGCCAGTTTCTCCAGGGTTGCTTCTGGTGCCTTCAAGTGCCGCGGTACCTTTGCAATCCATCCAGCGTCCTCATAACTCCTGCAGAGAAATTAGGACTTCTGCCCATTAGACACGTGGACCGAGTGCCTTGAGTGCAATTGATTAACTTGATTCCCGAAAGTTATTTGCTTTCATTTGAATTCTTAACCAGCCTCCTTCGTTGCAGAAAATATATTAGTCAGCTTATTAACTGGGGAGCCGATTCTTCCCCGAGGCTTTAAGCAAGGCTACAGTTCATCTGCATGATTTCATTAAAGAGTAATTAACACAACAAGAGGACGCATTGTTCCCTGATGACATCAACGGAGCACAAAATCAAATCTATTCCCTCCCGATAACCCTCAAAGCAACCACATCGTGTGTGGACTTCGCATATCAGTAATCAGGAGGTAAGCTTTGTTCAATGTTATTGTTATTGAAAGGAGCCAATTAAAGGTGCCTGTGTTCTGACCTCTGTGTTGCAGAAGTGTATCTGAAGTGTCGAACTGCCGGTGAGATATCTGGCCCGACTCCTGGATCCTTAAAAAGCAATATCAGAAGATTTATCAGTGTCGTGTTCAACTGGAAATCATGAGGCTCACGTATGTATTTTTAACACATCTAATGATGAGTGTAGGTTTTATTTTTTTACCTGTTATTATTAATATAATTATACTCAACAGTATTGAAAACCATTATTTTAAAAAACGCTATTAAAAACCATAATTTCTCACTTAAATTCTCACCTGGCATTAGACCATTAATTAGCGATGGCACCAGCCAAATGATCTTTCAAATTACCTCTGATAAATGCAGAAAATCTGATACAATCTGTGAAAATTCATCTGAGCTCAGATTCATCAAGTAAACATAAATGGATAATGAGGCTCATCCTACGGGGGTCAATGACGTCTGAATCAAAATTTATGGAAATCCATCCAGTAGTGCTCGAGATCTTTCAGTCGTGACCAACAAACAGGCTGTAATTACCACCCCTAAAGCTGAGTGTGCCTAAAAGCACAAAATATCAGGATGTTCTCTTAATGACTAATGCAAAACAAAGACACACAAATTCCTATATTCACTCCAAAGTGCATCCGAGCGAGTCAATCGCAGTATTTGACGTTTTTACACATCAGCGGGCAGCATTCAGATTCTATTGGTTTTGCAGCTTTGTGCATAAAAGAACAAGGCGTGTTGACACAATGCTGAAAACACAGCAAAACCAGAGGAATAGCAAATGCAAAGCAAAAGTAAACTGGCTTTTCCTCCTTTAGTTAAAGAGGGAGATGAAATAAGAGTATAACGTAGACTCCACCAAAAAAACATTCTAGCTACCACCTAATTCAGAGCCAACTAATTTCGGTCACATGTGTAGAAATAGGACAACATCCTTCTTTCTACAAAGAATGGTGGCTGCCTGGTGACCACATTAAATTGTTTTACATGCAACTTGCGGTGATCAAATGATTGCTCAGAGCTTGAGGCCGTTGCACACTCATGACAACTTTTGATTGCAAGGCGATTGCGAAGATCACCAGACAGAAGGCAACCTCTGTTATCAGTCTGCACGAGCACAACTCCAGGGGACTCGACTCAACTGGCTGCCGGCTGGTTGTATTCTGGTTATCTTCCTCTTGAACAGGAAGGTTGCAAATATAACAGTTAAATATAAATTTCTGTTCATTGTGTATTTATTTCTATGCAGACACTATAAGCTATGTTATGTCAAAAGTTTATTACACTTAATTTCTGTGTTATCAGAAACAGACTGCATGTAACTGCCAACGTCACCCCACTCTATCACAGACTGATAACGGACTGGCTCATCTTATGTCAACATTTATGGAAAGTGTGATATGGCAGAAGTGAGATAAGTTTATCTTATTGGATAAAACAGATACTGACAAAGTTTAACTCTGAGGACCTAACTTGCAACACCTGTTGTACTACTCAGCATATCACAAAATGTAAAAAATAAATAAAAATGCAATAACATTGTATAATGAGGGAAGTCTTTTGATAATATTGTATCTTGAACTTTCTCGTGAGTCCCAGCTTCCAGTATAAAGGACTGTTTGAACTAATTATAGCATATATATATATCATTTTAGCTAGTAGAAGTATGTGGAGGATGTTACATTACTATATTTGCAAAAGGAAAAAAACTAGCACAATGCAGTACAGGAGAGGAAAGAAGACTAAAAGGCTTATCGTGGTGGATTCAGCTCTGGCTGACTGCTGATCAGCTGGTTGGGATGTCTGCAGTGTTGCAAAAGCCTGTGTTCCCAATAGAGAAGTTGCAGCGTGCCCTCTTGTGGACATCAGGGTGTTTCTATCATCGTCTGCTGTAAACTGACTTAGATCACCAAATAACTAATAAGCCAATATCAGTTGTTTGCCGATCTAAGCAGATAACATCAGCTGTATGGAATCTGCTGTCTGATATAATTATTTTTTTACTCATCCTGCAGTATTTTCTGCGCTGTTCCAATTATTTTGTTGTAGATATCAGGGATCGTATTGAAAACTAATATGTGAATATGTGTGACCTTGAGCGTTGCTGCTAGCAGATACATAAAAAAAAAGATGACTTAATAAAACATTGATAAAACACTATCATCATGAATCTGTCACCCTGGAGCTTTTTATATTCTGGCCATCAATCACTGCACTGCCAGAAAAGAGTTGAGAAGGTCCATTGATTTCACTGCGCATGTGTTAACTTCCATACTAAAAATGTATTATCACCACTGTAATCCTGAACTTCACACTACTTAAATACAGGCTTTAATCAAGTCTCTATTCACTGAACAAAATACCTATCTGCAATAACTGAGCACTGCGAGACCTCTCTTAAACAACAATAATGTGTGTCAAGGTAATTATGGACGTTTCAATTAGCAGTTTCAGAAACAAAATAATAAAGCAAGGTTATGTCCTCAAAGTGAAAACCTGCCCACATAATAAGCAGTATTATGTGAGGTGTGATGAGACTGTAAGTGAGGTACGCATTTCTGATTTAATACTTAATATGTGCTTGTGTTATGATAGGAAAGTGATTAATACAGCAGTTGTGATGAAGTGTAATGATAGTAAGCAAGCCAACAGCATTAGTTCAACCAAAATGTTTCCAGCGTCTGCACTGTAGTAAGATTTAGTATATAAATCAACAAAACTTTAATGTGCTCAGAGGAAAAACTGAAGAGGGAAAACTGATGAATTGTTAATGTGTGAAGTCTTTCATTTCTCATTTGGGCAAAAACAGGCAAATTGAAGATGTCACACAGTCGCACTTCAGTACAGAAACCAGTTCAGTCAGTCATCACTCACCTGATTTCCAGGATGTGTATCAGGCAGATTGTTACTGATCATCACTGTTGCTGGTGTCCTCAGTGACTGAGGTTGAATTTTAACAAGATCACTTGAACCTTAGGATGACACAACAACAATACATTCTCTGACAAATTGTGAACTATAACTATGCACAGCAGTATCTGCCCTCAAGGTCAAATTACCCTGCAAGAAGGCCCCGGAGCAACAAACAGCCATGGTCCCTGCTGACCAGCTCCCAGTCTGGATGTGTATGGATGTTGTGCCTCTAATTACCCATCAGGCACAGAGCACACAACAGACTACAAATGCCAGCTTAAGCTTAATTATACAGTATTTAGCCTGGAGATGTACATACCAACTAGCTATTACCAATGCTCTTTAGTAGCTGCTCCAGGTATTTTATGCTTTGGGTTGTTGTAATAATTTAATTGCAGAATAACTTTTATATATGTTATAAAACCATATTATGACATGAAATGAGCTGAGCTGTTGTTTCAAAAGCTAGCTCTGGCAGTTAGCACTGCTAGCAGTTTTAAGTCCGTTAGTAAACAAAAGGCTTTCATTAATATTTGCATATTTACTGTAAAAATGTAATGGGAGCTTAAATGTCAAAGAGAGAGAGAGTGAATAAAACAAATTTAACTTACAGTGGAAAGTACTGCGCTAAGAAAATGATGAGCCAAGCAATATTTCTTTAGAGCTAGCCAATGCTAGCTAAAAAAAAAAAAAAGCAGCAATATTTAGCTTAAAGTAATGTAATGTTTAATATTTTATAAAACAAAAAGCTTACTAGCTAATAATTTTTAGGGTAACAATAGATACTTCTGCCTTTAGAGCTGCCTAAATTGTTCCGGCACAGATTGAGCAAGGTGCTGGGAACATTATTGATGGCCATGTTGACAGTTGCTGCAGATTTGTTAGCTGCACATCACTGATGTGAATCTCTCCAAAAGTGCTCTATTCGCCTGAGATCTGGTGACTATTGAGACCATTTGTCTACAGTAAACTCAATGTCATGTTCAAAGAACCAGTTCAAGATTATCTGAGCTGTGGGACAAGGCACATTATCCTGCTAGAGCAGCCATCATAAGATGAGTCCGTATTAGTTGTAAAGAGATGAGCATGATCAGCAACAATCCTCAGGTAAGGGGCACTAAGTCTGCCAAGAAACACCAGCAGCCTGAGCTGTTGATACAAAATGTAGGGATCCATGCTTTCATGGCATTTACCCCGAGTTCTTATTCACTAAGTGTCCAAGTCTGACAACAGTTAGATCAACTTTGACGTTAAATTTCACCAAAGGCAGCAAACACAGCAGCTCTTATCGACAGAAAAGGTCAAGATATCCTCAACAATTCACCTCAGTATCACTATCACTGTACAGAAGCTTCACTCACTCATCAGTTGGCATTGGACCCATTCAGAGAGTGTTAAAGCCTCCTCCAGAGTAAATAAAATTAGACACTTCTCTGACAGCTGAGGAAAACAGTGGACTAACAGCAAACACTCACAACAAATGAACAGTAGTTAACTCAGGGGTAAAAACGTAAAACTGAATATTATATTCATGCATAGCCCTTTCTTTTTTATATGAGTAATTTATTGCTAAGTGTTTATATTGTTTTAATGTGCCATAATATAGTGTGTCCAAAAATATCTTTTACACAAACAGTCACGCACACCAGCTGGCTATGGTTGTAACAGGATGCAGTATAATGTTGTTGATTACTCTTGGCTGACTAAACTGTGAAAGGTATAATTTAAAAAAGACATAGTTTAAAGAAATAAAACATATTTGTTCTGCAGTGGCCACCATAGTTTGGATTATGCGCTTGAATTGGGAGGAGAAAGAAAACAAAATTCCGTTGACTGCACTCTACTGCCATCTAGTGGTAAGATTTTACACACTGTAACTTAAACAACAAATTTCTGTTAAGAATACTCCAATATATATATATATTTTTTCAGTTTTGCTGTAAAACTTTCAAATTTTTTTCTGAAATACTCATACCAGCCTGTCGCAACCAATAAATCACCTTTCTCTCCTATGCTCAGTTTCAATTTAAAGCTACACAAATGCGCTTCTATGTTTTTTAGATGTAATTACACAATAATCAATGTGTTGACTGGCTGATTAGAGACTTACATTAATGAGCCGTTGAACAGGTGTCTAACATTTTTCGAGTAAAATTGGTTTCCACGCTGAACTTCACGCTGTACCTGCATGAAGACCACTAATATGAAGTGACCAGAAGGGGGCACTGCAGCACCCAACAGCAGGTAGCTACAGCGAATAATTTGAATCATTGTGGGTGCTTTATGTTTTGTTTGTTTGCTTACTGTTTCTGTAGAGCCTAATATATTAAGATTTTATACATTTATTCATTATTTAACTTATTTTTAGAATTGTTTTTATGAGAATAAAATATCTAGTGTTTCGATCTGTCACCCTGCCGCAGCCATCATCCATAATCATTACAACGAAAACAAGAAGATTGATGAAACAACCTTGAAACTCGACCAGAGAGCGTGGTGATACTGCAGCTTTTCAGCCAAGGGATAATTTACTCTTTAAACAGTTTTTTAATTTGTATTCACAATGCAACAGCTCAGCAGATTTTCCTTAATTTTTTCAATTGTTGGTTATTCATTTGGTGCATCGTGAAAAAACAACTGAGATAATATCTATATATAATATAGTCAAACGTTATGTAATTCCAAACATCGAAGCACAAATTTAAAGGAGCATTTACTCCCATATGAGATAAAGAAAAGCAAAAGGTCTTCATATTTGACAAAATTTCAGCTTGTTTTTTTCCCTCTAGGGGTAGTTGCCCTGTTAGCAATCAAGCCTTTATCACTCAACAATAGATTAACTATCCAATTTCAAGGCTCTGACTTGCACAGTATTTAAAATATGCTTCTGTTTGTTTGTTTTTTACCACTCAGTCTTGCTCTCAGAGCCGCATGGGGGATCCTCCTGTAGTTCCAGGCCTCGTCCTCGCTCAGGTCTACACATACCACTGAGAAATTTGGGGTTGTTTGAGGCCTCTCTCTGAAACCGGGAGGGACCCACAGAGCAGAGGGGACATGATCAAAATCTATGAATTTCTTTCGACCTTTGAGGCCCAGGACTACCTCAGCTCCAGCACTCAGCTGACCACAGCAGGGGTCCAACAGGGGGACATCATCTCGCAAAGGAGCCAGGGTGACACGCTCAGCGGGGGGCTGAAGTCTAAGGGAGCCTACGTGTCCAGTTTTCGGTCTATCTCTCCTACCATCTCGGTGCAAACTGGAGTTCAGCCGCCTGATGACGTGAAGCTCTGAGGAAAAAGGCTCGAAGGGATCCAAAACTGCAGTCATTACTGCCTGGGAGGAAATTCCTCGAAGGCTCCTGTGAGTTTGTGCAGTGAGCGCTCGTTGCCCAGAGACTGGGTTAGTTTCCTGCTCGGATCAAATTACTGACATGTAGACCTGTGTGCTGAGCGTGGAGGTGCAGCTCCACATACCTGAGCACATTATTCTGTATTTGTAATAATATAATAAAGCAAAGGTCTAAAAACATCCCATCGTATCCATTCTGGATGCCACACCACGCTGATTCACTTCAGGGGAGCTTTCATAACTAATAATGTTCCCTCTGAGCTTCTATATTTTGGCAAGCTACACCTACTAATTTATCACTCTGACCACATAAAAACATTTAGTCAGCCATGCCCTGGAAAAATACTCTACACAAATGTTGTTTTAGTGGCAAATGATAAAGGGAAGACTTGGCCCAGCATCAGGGTTAGTGAACTGTGTGTCTCCTCCTCGGAGAACGCCACATTACTTCCCGTGATTGGTAAGGAGCCATTTAAACCCCCTCCTTTTGAAAAGTTGCCCGCTTTTCCCTCAAGAAACCACAAGATGGAGCAGTAGAGCCTAGACGTAAGATGAAGCAGAGCAACCCAGTCCCTTTTGAATTCAATGACAGTCTACAAATATCACAGCAAAAAATAAAAGTCTCAGCTGTACTGTCATGATGATGCACTATGAATTCAGAACTACCAAGGTGACCACAAGTCCAACACCGACTTTGACCGAAGTCCCTGAAGACATATTATTAAATTAAATTATTTATTTATTTATTTTTGCTCATGAAGGCTAAACAAGTTGTTTTCCAAGCCTGAAGTGCTTTTAGCACAGAGAGACTTCAAATGTAGGCTCTGTTTTGTTTTTATTTTAAAAAAATCTTTAAAGCCGGCAGTAAACTAAATGAAAATTATGTAAATCACACAGCCAAAGCAAAAAGTGTTTTTTACAAAGGCTGTAATCTGGTGAATGTGCAGGCTTTGAAAGAGCTGTCTCATATTCACTGAAGCCAAAAAGCACAGGAATACTATGTGCCTCGCTGCCTATTAATTAGCCTCCTCGAGTTGTCTGAAATTTAACGTACAAATGTAAATAAATGCCCCACAAATTTACAGGCACGATGGGGCGTGCGTGCTTTATAATGAATACTGAAGGCACCCTGGCTAAGTGGCATTTTTTTTCTTGGGAAAGAACTGATGCTAATGTGTCAGTGGTGGTGATGATGGTGATGCTTGCTGATAGATGATTTTTACTCGGGCTGTCATTAGGAAATGTAAACACCCAAGAGCTGTTGAAAAGGATGTGTTAAAAATAGCCTAATTAGAGTTATTCTGATAACCGACTGGTGAATATGCCCAACTCCCACACAGTGCTCCTCCACAAAAGGAGAGCAGGAATGACACTTGTGAAATCTTCTATGGCTTTTTTTTTTTTTTGGAAATTACTTTTTTTCTGGTATATCACACCATTGTCACAACAGTCTTGTGGCTTGAAGTGTGCAGATTTTCAAGTATTTTGTAGGAATTCGGTTATATGTGGGTCTAGAGGTCCACATGACTTACTGGAGTTGGATTCCATTAATCCTTCCCTTATGAGAGGTTATAACTGCATCACACTGTATTCCTTCCAATGCTTTTGTCTACCAATTATTTCAGAGGGGTTTTTTTTTGTTGCTGCAGGATTTTAAATACCAGACTAGGCTTGAGATGACTGTATTATTTTTTTTCCTTTTTTGCAGGGAATCAGATATTTCTGGAGCAAGCAGTCATTACCATTGGAGCAGCCCTTGTTACTGAATCCTGTGTTATTAGTCAGCTTGTCTGCTATTCTCTAGACTCCTCCACAGTCTCAGAAATAATTTAAATCTCACATCTCGCCTGTGGTGCCAGGTCCAATGCTATAGTGCGGCAGCCACTAATTTGCACGGTCTGCATTCATCTGAGAAATAACTGTTGCTCTGGATTAAGAGCCGCTGTTGTCTCCGATGATGCTGTCGCTGCAGAGGGTCATCAAAGCAAACTCCCAAATGTAGCGCCGGCTTTCTGAAGACAATATAGGCCGATGCTGCTCCGGGGCAGCAGAGCCAGTATTTTTGTTAATTAGAGGGTTGAGGGTGAGTCGGTATGACACCTCAGAATCGTACAGGCAGGGCTAGGAGGTGAGGCGGCCACCTGGCACGTGGGGAGCGTATCATCACGGGGCGGAGAGGATGCTTTAGAATGGGGATAGACAGCATCGTTTATCACTGGAAGAAGGAGCTGCAAGAAAATTAAACAGATAAACGCAAAGAGATGAAAGACAGATATTAATGTCTGCATGTGTTCGTATCAGTCCCGCATAAAGGTTTGATATATTAGGCAGCAATACCTTTGGGGCCACAGCTCATAAAAGCAATTCCTCTATCCAGCCATCTCTGTATGCATGATATGCAATAGAGTTCATACAACAGAGCCCCATCGACGTTTGTTGCATAAAGCATCCGCGGCTGGGATTTCGTCCGTATGTCTTGTAAACTGCTGAAAATGCATGACCATATTTATAGCACAAGGGCCCTAAGTCATAACTCGTAGGTCAAATTCATCACACTGTAAAGGCACTGAATTGATTACTGCCCGTTGACCATGAATGCATTAGATTAGAGGGCAAATTGGCTGCAGTGTAGTCTGTGTCATGCTGTGTGTGGCACCCTCAACCATTTGGAAAAATCCAAACAGAGTGCATAGATGTAGCTCCCACGAGCAGCAGGGGTAGCCATGTCCTCAGAGAGTGGCCGAAGGCTTTATTGTAGCGCTGCTTCCCGGCCCTCGGTTGCTGCAGCTCTCCGCTTGTCACACTCAGTTAGCTCAATGAAGTAATGAATATGCCGCTGTACATTTTTCATGAGGGAGGTGGGAGTGAAAAATCTGCTCCTTATAATGCTTTTAATATGGAAGTTTTCACACACCCTCTTCCCCCCGCAAAGCCCTCTCCGAGCTATCATGGAGACGCATGAGCATGATGGTTTAATGTTAACATTCCCCAGGGGAGAGTCAGCATAACGCAATGTCACTTTCAGTGATGAATATGGTGACTGCAGCAGACATACAAGCAGCTGTATATTATGACTAAGTTGGGATAACGGTGGCGTCTGCCCTCCTTTGAGAGAAGGCTTTAGCTGCATGGGGGGAAAAAACTGGTGGCCAATTCTGTCACTTGAATGGGTGACTCAGGCACATCATTACAGTAATGAATTAGTTTATCAGGAAGCGCAACCATAAGCTTCCAAAAATGGAGGGCTATTAAGTATTCAAAGATAAACGCAAACACAAGGAATAATCAACAAGTAAATAATTAGGCAAATGATTCCGGCTTGGCATGTTTGCAATTATTTTAAATGAACTATTTAAAATTATTTAACGTACAAGAAAACAAATACCCACGCAGTAGATCTAAATAGTCAAACATTATGCTAACAAAGATGGCGGTACTGATACATCACTGCTCCTGATACAAACTAAATAAATTATATTAGGACTACAGATCTTTCCTTTTTTCATATTTCTGTCTGGAGAGGCGTTAGACACGAGGATGCAAATGCTGACACCAAAGCAGACAGAAATAACAAAGTCAAACCTTTAATTTGGCTGATACATGAAGTCCAAATGAACAAAGTCCAAATAGCAAATGAAAAAGGGAACAAAAGCTGAGATCCAAAATACACAAGGGGAGCAGAGAGCCATACGGGGAAAACACAAGAGCAAACAGGGAAGGACAACTGATGTCTTGGCAAAGGACAAAGGAAAGGCAGCGCTGTATATATGCTGAGGGCTGACTGAGGGACAAACAGGGCATGTGCTACTGTTACAATGTGGATGTTTAGATTACAATGTGGCTTCAAACAGTGGCTTCAAAAAGCTCAGGGTTCAGATAGTTTGTTTCTGAGTGATGCTTCACCCACCTGCCTTTTTGAGGGGCAACGAATCAAATGGCTTACACGGAGGGGAGGAGTTAAAATGGCATCTTTCAGACAGTGGATGGACTTGGGAGCTGCACAAAGGCCCACTTTGCAATAAATAAGGATTATAATGAATCGTGTAAATCATGCAAATCTGTGACAGATTTTAATCAATTGAAATTGTTTTTAAACTGCATATTCACATATTTGTGTTTAGGAATAAACATACAAATTGGTGGAATGTTTCAGTACATTTATACAGTATTGTGCAAAAGTCTTGAGCCACCCCTCATTTCTTTATATTTTGTTAGGAAAATGGGAAACGTGAAAACAGACATAGAAATTGAGTATAGAAGGCAAACACATAGTTTTAATTTAATTAGCTTGAAAGTCAATATCGAGGATGACCACCTTTATTCCTCAATGCAGCCTGAACTCTCTTAGGCAAGCTTTCTTGTCATGTCTTTAAATAATCTTAAGGAGTAGCTATCCAAGCTCCTTGCCTTACCTTTTAAAAAAAATCAGCACAGCATGTTACTTAATTACGTAATTAGTTACACAACGCGTTACATTCTTTTCTTGTTACTCTATGAAATTACTTAAAAGGTACTGTCACAAATAGTTAACAATATAAATCTGAGGCTACAGTGCACACTAACACACATCTCTATACACATGGTAATTCTTTTAGTTTTTAGGTATGGGGACAAAGCAAAGATAAAAACCAGTCCAAAGACACTTTAAAGCAATCGCCACAGTCCTTCTAATGGAGACTGCAAGTCTGAGTGCTCATCACTGCTTTGTTACTTGTTGATGAGCAGGGTCTGGCTCTTGGGCTGGGGGGTCAGCGTGCACTCAGCTTTAAAATCCCTTTGGGCTGTTGGCTAGTTTCGTGTTAGCAAACTGTCTATGCAGATGTGAGAGCTTGCAAAGAGCTGGTGTTGTGTTAGCAGTATAATGCGGTTGTCCCTGTCCTGGATGCTGTTTGTGCTTTACCATACTGTCCTTTTGTGAAATAAAAATAAATTGATGTCTATATCTTCACTCCTTAAATGGCTGCATGAGCCACCATTTTTCTCCTCCCGAGCATGAATTGAAATCAGCTGATTGTTGGAAATGCTAACAGGAATAACAACATATTTGTAACTGTAATGTAATTACTGAATTTAGTACAGTAACATATTACATCACTGTGTTATTACAGTAATGCATTACTTTAACACTGGGAATGAATGTCTGGTG